GCGTTTGTGGTCTCCGTTTTCTGTTTTTCAACATGTTGTAAAATAACAACACCAAATTAGCCACATGTATTACAACACTTTTATACAACTAGCTATTGTACTCTTTTATCTTTCAACTGTTGTAATTTCTTTACAACACCCTTATTGTGGGTAGTCTAAGTGTTCTCTTAAATCATTCCACTTTTTTTTTTTTTTATAGAATCAATCCTTTAAAAAATTTCTTTTTTGATTTCAGTCACTTAGACAGAACACGGGGACGGAGAATCCGAGTTGTTCATTCTTTCAAGGCAATACGTTTTCCATGTTAACAATTCCTACACTTCATGACATTGGTTCAATCAAGTAGATTTTTTACTCTATTTTATTGCTTGATTATACTTTTCAAGCATTTAATACCCTTATAGTTTTCTTTCTCTTAGCGTGTTCACATAATGGTATGCAGGAGATTTTCGAGACAGCATACATCAATTTCTGTCCCTACTCGTACATCATTAATCCAGCCATGGATGCAAATCTTAAAAGAAATTTCAGAGAGAAGCTATTATAATCACTGACGAAACACAATAAGTTTTATACCAGAAAATGATTTTTGAGACTAAGTTTTCTATTGTAAAACATATATAATATTCTACAGCAATATAGAAGACTTCGCTTGTGACGTTGGAAGCTTTGAACTGGAAGTGAATACTCTTAACTGTATGTATTAGACAAATCTCTTCCTACTTCTATTTATTCTTATGAATGTGCTTACTAATTTGATTTCCTCTTTTGAAGTGTTGGAGGCTGAAGTCAACAATATGATGTTAGTAAAGCTAAGAAATCATATTCAGAGGTGTTCATTCTAACCAGATGTTCTTTCTATCTATATAGGGTCTGATAGACTTCATCAAAGCTAAGAAAGGCTCGAATAACATTACAAAGCTAAGGTTTGGAGGACTTTGTCACCGATCGATGCCTTTTCATCTGAACTTGGGATCCAGTTTGACACTGTCTTTGTGGCTCCACATGTGATTAATGTTGCTCAACAAGTACTGATTAATGCGCTCTACTTAGCAACATATTCCAAAACTGCGTGTATGATATAATAGCCTCTTTATTTCAGGTCTGGGCTGGTGCGATCGTCAATGTTCCTAATTATCAAGACCTAAAAGTAACCTATGAGAATGCTCAACGAATTTCAGTCCAGGTACTTAGTGTTTGGTCATTGCTTCAACCTCTTTTTTGCCTGTAAATGTGTTACTCTTGGACTGATGCAGTGTTTTCCTGTATTGTAAAATGCAATGCTCTACTTTGCTTTGAGGGATGCTATAGGGAATGCCTTGGAAGACATATGCACCACTGTACCACGTGGCTCTCTACTCTTCTTTCCTAGCTTTGATTTGTTGGACAAATTCTGTGCTCGTTGGAGACAAACTGAAAGATGGGATAAGCTCAAATCAAAAACGAATCTTTTTGTTGGTGAGTAACATTACATCTTTTGTGATCATGTAGAAATTGCTGCAACAAATCCAGTTGTTATGCTTCTATCTTTTCGCTTGTCAAAAATTTCAAGTAATGGTCCTTTGGTTGCAGAGCCAAGAGGAACATCCACTAAATGATTCAATGATATGCTGAAGGATTATTATACTGTTTTATCAAGTGATCCCGACAGTAGAGCTTTATTTCTAGCACTATGTAGAGGAAAGGTTTGTTCCTTGTCGTGGTTTATGTAGTTTATTTTCATTTAAAAACTCCAATCCGATGGTTTGAGCTTTACCTTTCCACATAAAATATAGTATTTGAAAAATCTTGACGGCTTGAAATTTTAGTTTAATGTCTATATGTTTTTCACAGGTTGCAGAAGGCATTGATTTCAAGGATGACATGCCAAGAGCAGTGGTATGTTTTCTTAAACTTTAGTATATTGCAAAACAGAATTAACCCTACACGGTTGATGAATGCGCTGTTTAGATTTGATGAGTGCACTTTTAGTTCAGTTTTGTTACATCTCAAACTTGGGATGATCAATTTTCTGGTTAACCATTTCCTTGTCAGGGGAGATGAAAAAATCAACCAAAAGAGAATATATAATGATCGTCCTCGAGAGGCCTTTGTAGAGGCAAGAAATGGTAATTACAGCAGGCGTTCAGGGCTATAAATCAGGCGGCTGGGGGATGCATCCGACACAAATATGACTATGGAGCAATCATTTTACTAGGTAATTTTAAGTTTTCAATATTCGTTTCCTTGTTTTGTAATAATTTTTTAGTTTTTGTGACTAACATTCATCTTTTTTATTCGTTTATGTGGTTTCCAGATGCGCGGTACGATGAGGAAAGGAGTAGAATGTTTGCCTCGGAGTGGTTTAGGAACTCAATCAGAAAGTATACGGATTTCAAGAGTTCTTTGAGCGACCTAGCATCTTTCTTCAAGAACGCCAAGGTACAAAAAATCGATTTCATGAGG